CCCCAAAACCCCAAAACCCCAGTATAAAAGGCATTAAATCAAGATTAGAATATAATTAATAAATATTTATCTAAATTCTAGCATGTAATATAACTGTGAAGAGTCAAATTATAAGTTGAACTCCCAAGATCATTCTCAAGATAAAACTACAGAGCATTCATCTATTGAATTGATTACAAAGGATAGTCATTCAACTTTCTGCACTATATCTCAACTTAGCAAATCAATCAGTCAGGGGTCCAATCAGTATGAATCTTAATTCTTTATCTGACTAAAATATAGAAGAGTAGATTTTTCACATGATGGAACAATGAATTAGCTGAATGAAAACTCTGAATTTTACAACGATTTTCCTTTGCTTAACGTGGAAGACTTAAGCTCTTATCAGCAGGAATAGAATCACTTTCATGGGGACAGCTTCTTTCAAGATGAATCTACTAATGTAGATCTAGATTTCCAAAACTTTTCAGGTTCCTAGAACAGCTAGCAATTTTTCACTGGGAAGATTGTCAATCAGAATTAGAGAGATTATATGGTAAATTATAACTAAGAACAAAGAAATGAGACCTTTAAACCTGAAAAGTTTTTCAGTGAGTTTAGTGTCATCATTGAAGAAACTCCCTAGACGCCATCTCTCAATGAAAAAGTGGATAGAGCTTATAGAGAAACAACAGAAGATAAGCCTTACTACTGCAATTAGATGTAAGATTCAGACAGCTGCATGTCTGGATTCTCCCTATTGATGTCTCAAAACAACCCCTAAGTCCCTTTCAATACCTAAATCAGTATTCCAGATAGATTTAAGAGTTCTCAGCAGACACATGTGACCTGCCTCCAATCCAAAGGAATCAACAACAACAACAATGAAATTCCTTTGCAATCTTAAACTTGCTATACACTTTATTAATAGCAGCAATCATAAGGATAGTCTCAAGGATTATCCCAAGTTTTGACTCAGATGTTTGATGAAAAGGCTGAAATGAACCAAGACTACATATAAAAGCCTTATCAGAATGTGTTTTCCAACCAAATTAATATTGTCTAATCTAAGTCAAAAAGAATCTATGAGTGATGAAGAATTAGCATACATTCTACTGATCTATTAACGGTTCTCTATTTATCTCTCCTATTGACATTTTTATTTCATTTTATTTTAATATTAATTAACTAAAATTCTATAATTTTTTAGAAAAATGGGGTTTTGGGGTTTTGGGGTTTTGGGG